GTAATTTTTGTAGGGTAGCAGCATCCCTTCTACCCAAAATAGGATACTCTCGATGTATGTGGGTCACCCCCAGTTCACGTGCAAAATACAACAATAAGAGGTGCCAAATTTGTTCCCATTTCAGTAACTCGGTAATTACTGGGGCGATTTCGCTGAAACTTGGCATACAGGTAGGCACCCACCAGGCAATGCATTCCCATGTGTTGCGGTTAGGGTGCTACTGCACGTGCGCACGTGCAGGGGGCGTTTCCAGATCTCGAGAACGGCTGGGCCGATTGCGCTCAAATTTGGTACACGGTTGGGGACCAGTTAGTAGGGTGCCGTGCAAAAGTCATTTTGGGCCCCGTTTGCACGTGCGCACGTGCAAAATGCCGCTTCCAGATCTCAGGAACGGCTGGGCCGATTGCGTTCAAATTTGGCACACCGCTAGCGACCGGTTAGAAGGGTGCTTTGCACAAGCCCGTTGAAAGCACCTTCCCGCCCTTCCGCACGTGCAGGGCTCACTATCTCGCTCGCTCTTCGCCCAAAAGGCGTTTTACTGGTTGTAAAATTTGTCAATAATGCAAATAACTTGGTTATTTTTGAAGATATTGGGCTAAAACTTGCTAGAGTAGTTTATCAGTGTGTTCCGTATCAGTGAGTAGTTATCACATATATTCCGGTTTTTGCGAAAAATCAAAAACTTTTTGAAAAAGAAATAAAAAATATATCTTTTGTAATTGTAAGAAAATATTATTCAAAATTTTCAAAATTTCGAAAATTCGAGATAGCAGTTTGATAGCTTCGTGTATTTGTAGTCCACTGATGCAAAGAAATTGGATCTAGCTTTAAAACTAAGGTCTTGAGAGCGTATGCCATAATTCAATATTTTGCATCAAAATCGACCGACATCACGTCACTCTGACGTCATTTCCGGCCAAACTATGCTAGCTAGAAAGTCGAAATTATAACACAAGGTGTCAAATTGATGCCGCTGAGGTTACTGCAAGTTTCGTGTTGATCCGTGAAACGGTATAGAGGATATTGCCGAAAAACGGGAGGGGGCGGGGGGGGGGGGCTCTGTAGAGCCCCCCCCAGTCATGCGCGGGTTAAATGGAAAAGCATGATTTAATAATGATAATAATGAATAATAAAACTGCAATTTTCCTTTTCTGTTGGCACCTTACAGCAAACGGTGGGCCGTGACGTCCGCATCTGCACGTTCAATGCCAAGCACATCATCGACGTGCCGAAGTACGCGCACCACATCGAGCACTGCCCGGACCGGGACCGCCTCGACCGGGTCATCACGGAAAAACTAGCCGAGAGTGAGAGACTTCGCTTCGGGGGGCGGCAGAGCGCTGAATGTCTGAATGCCCGTCACCTGTGTGTGGTTGTGATGGGTCGGTTACATGTAGACTGATTTATGACTGTAACCTGCATAAATGCAACTCGTTTAAAAATATGACTTATCGGCTGGCTTTACCGATGCACCCTCATGACTAATTTAATGAAACCCTGATTATCGTTTAGAAGGCCCTCAGTCGATCAACTTTGTCTGCTCTCGATTTACAGTTGTATATTTCTTACCTCGCAAGTAGTCTCATGACCCTCCCGATGTCTGGCAGTCCACGAGTCGGACAAACGGATCCGGTCGCAGCCGATCGACAGCGCGCCCGACTTTCAGTTCTCCAGCGGCGAGAACTGGGACGACGACGTGGCAGCGGTTCCGTCGTACCGTCGCCGCGGCTCGTATGACCCGAGCGCGGCCATCTCCAACCGAGATGTGTACAGGTGGGTCACAGGTGGCTCGGGGCCCCACTGCGGTATAGTGGGAGCCGGGAAGGTGAATTATTTGACCCGAACTTTCTGTGGGAATGGCGATGCGGGCTGGATGGAGTAAGTCTGTTGTGATGGGGGGGGGAGGAGGGGAGAGGGATAATTCACAGGGAGGTGTCAGTGTGCACCAAGCAGCTAATGGTGCATTGTAAAGCCATCGATAAGACCGAGTTTGCCCGAGTTTTACCACGTGCAAGGCTAAATGGTCGTTAGCGCAATATATACTGAGGTGCGCTGTAACTAGAAACGCTTGCATGTTTCCAAAACGCTGTTCCGTACCGATATTACATGAAGTACTGCATAAGGCCCACTCCCGCCCAGTCACCCAGTGACACGGCCTTTACTGCGACCGGTCAGGTTCCCGCAGGAGCCGATGGGCAAGTCGTCGCGGCGCCAGTTCCGCTCGGAGACGGTGGCGCGTCTGAGACAGATCCAGGAGGGCGGTTCGGCGCCGCCGTCGGCAGCCAGCTCCACCACAGCGGCCTCGGCCTCGACGGGAGTGGGCCGGCGTCCCACCGTGCCGCGCATGCCCTACTCGAGCACACTGGCTCTGACGGCCCGGCCGCAGCTCGGCAGGGGTGAGTGACCAGCCCCGGCCGCAGAATTTTAGATGCCAAAGTTTAACGTGCCCTTCAAAGCCGGACACGGCCTGGCCTGTCCCACTCAACTCACTTCAACTGGCTGCGGCTGCTCCCACCAACCGCAGACCATCCCTGTGAGGACCCGGGCTCTCACGACTCACTACCGGGAGTCCAACGCTCTACCAAGTGAGCTACGGGACAGGCTACGGGACATATTAATGCTCTCTTAAAATTTCTCGGGGTTACAGCTCTTTTATATGACCCTACCGTCACCATCTCACGCTTCTTTCCTCACCCCTTTTCATCCCCCACCGTGACATCCTATTCCCTCATCGGTGTCTCCTCACCCCACATCTGTGCCAAATATGCGTCCCCTCGCTAACGGTTCCCGTCACCGTGCGTCGCCAGGTCAGCGGGTGCAGGAGGTGACGGCGCCGGTGGGTCTCAGCGCCGGCCCCAGCGCTGACCAGTCGGTGGAGAAGGCCCTCCACAGGATGAACCTCGGATGTGGCCGCGGTAAGAGCGCGTGTAGTGGGGACTTGGTGGAGCTGTAGCTAGTAGAGAGGGCGGTAGGTGTTCAGACACTAGCCTAAGCAAGACTGGCCATCGGTTATGAACATTTGGCTTGTATCATTACATGTTTAGCTGTCATGTGAAAGTCGCTACACAGTTTACTTCTTGGTGCTGTTACTATGATCTGTGGCGCCATAAGTGCGTTTGCCCATGTCTACTACTTACCCAGCCTTCCCCCCCTCCCAACACACACACACCAACGGCCTGCAGTCTGTACCCTGGTTAGCTGGGTCGGGCTGTCAGACTGAACTGGACTGCTACGATGGGACCGGACTGACATATTGAGGTTTACTGGCAGACTGGGTTGAACTGTCTGACTGAGACCGGCGGGCTAAACTGGACTGTTCCGAATGGTCAGGACTGACAGACTGCCCGCGGTTGTTGGCAGGTCGTGCCAAGCAGACTGTGGTGAGCCCCCCGGGGACAGCAGCTCCGGGCACCGCCGGACTTTCCATCTGGTAAAGTGAGTTGCGCCCGCCCCGGGCTCTTTGCTAGTAAAGGTGAATTACGCCTGTCCCCCGCCGGAACAGCCCCCGGACTTTCCATTTGGTAGGGGCGAGTCCTTTGTCTGCGGTCCATTGTCCATATTCCATGCGTCATCGGTATCTTTGTATGCCAATGTCCATGCGAGATCGTTATGCTCTATCCCGATTGTGCAAAAACAGTACATTTGCCGCCGACTGACGGTATATGAACGGCTGCAATCCGGCAGGTGTTTGTCCGACTACAGCTGACTGGCTGGGCGTGGTGTCCCATCACGTCGCGCGGGCCTGGCTGGAACGATAGGCTGCAGTGCTGCTGAAGAAGTATCGACAGCTCTGGGCCAGAGCCACCACTACCGCCACCAATTTAAGCTCAGAGTCAAGTTGACAGGACTGTCATTGCTATCAGCTATGTCTGTTAAACTGCAGGCTGTGGTAGAGGTGATGGGTAGATGTGGTAAAATAAGTTTGTTTCATTTTCACTTCGCTACAGTAGACAACTGTAGCTGGTTGGAGAGAGAGCTGTGAGGTCCAGCCATTTAGACGTCATACTCATGGCTGATGGCGTTTATTTTGAGACAAGGTAAGCCTGGATACCCGGGTTTGTAGATGCCACCGTCTTTCCTTACCCTATTTGATGTTCCTAGGCCGAAGTAAGGTCGTACAAACTAGTGTACAACTGATAACTTTTGTTGACTGTGACGCTCGAGGCGAATTTTGTTGGCGCAGTACAAACAGTGAGCCCCTGTTGGATAATATACGTCCAATTTATACCACTGTTTGCTATTCGGTATCGATAATTGCGAGCGTTAGTTATAAAGAGGTACATGGTGACACAAAAAAACGGTCATCACCAAATTTCGAATAACTTCGGAAGTTTTATTCAGATCATCACCAAACTTCGGCCACTTAAGGTCACACCTATGTAGCATACATCCACCAAGTTTCAAGTCTTCACTACGAATACTTTTAGTACAGTGTGTGTTTTACTGAGACGCTCCACAATGTGCTCCAGGTGAGCGCCACGGCGCTGCAGGGCGTAGGCACACTTGCATCCGGCGGGCAAAGTTGTCGATAACCCGATGGCTGTGCACTTTACAGAGTGCAATGGCCTCTGGAGACAGTGCTCAGGGGGTGTGCTACCCCTAAAACGTTATTCTTATCGGGTTATCGGCAACTTTGCCCGCCGGATGCAGGTGTGCCTACGCCCTGCAGCGCCGGGGCGCTCACCTGGAGCACATTGTGGAGCGTCCGTAAAACACACACTGTACTAAAAGTACTCTTAGTGAAGACTTGAAACTTGGTGGATGTCTGCTACATAGGTGTGACCTAAAGTGGCCGAAGTTTAGTGATGATCTGAATAAAACTTCCGAAGTTATTCGATTTTTGGTGATGACCGCTTTTTTTGTGTCACCCTGTATTCGGTCAACGTCAAGGCCATGTGCTTTGGCTCTGGAGTATATAAGCCGTGGGCCTTCAGCATTTATGAGACCCGGCCACTAACTTACTTTGACTATAAACAATCATCAGCAATCACACTGCACAACCCGCCTGTGTAATATATTACAGGAATGTTTCAGATGCGTATCACTAACAGGACACAAATATAGCTCTTATCACAATGCATCGACACAATAAATATAACCAGCATTACACTTGACTCATATATAATATAGGCGGAACACTCACATTGCACGAGCACACACCCCGATCCAACCACCCGCCCGTTCATGTCACCGTCTCAGCAGACCTCTCTCACACACACGACAAGCCCAGGTCCCCGAGCCGCGGCCTCCGGCTAGAAGTTGGGCTTGTACTTCTTCACCTCCACCATGATGTGGTGGATGTTGATGGCCTCACCGCGCGCCGGCAGGCTCTTCAGCACCTGCAGTCCGAGGATCTTGGTGAACCGGTTGTAGTAGAGGATGAGCTGCTTCAGGGCGTCCTGAAGGATGTTGGTGCCGTTGCGGAAGTTTGTGAACGACCGCATGATCTCGTTGTTGATCTCCTCGAGGGACTTTTTCCAGCCGGCGGAGAAGGACCGGACCAGCTCGGTGATGCGGCCTGCGGCAGGGGGGGGGGACACAGTACGGTCACTGACTTGCTAGCGGTGGTATTATCGTCAGGGACAGGAGGCAACGCGGGTCATTGACATGGTGGTGGGTATCCGTCGTAGCGGTACCGCTTGGTCATTCAAGCCGCCTGGTAATCTTCAAGCCGTGCGGTACAGCATAAAATCAGGCGTACACTAGTAGTGACACCTATCGGCTGAAACTGAAAACGGAAGTGCGTCACTAGCGGCATCTACAGCTTCGTAATCAGTCGGACGGCATTGATTTCTTGAAGATCGTATTAGCTCAAGACAAGTAGACAAAAAATTGTCAGTATAGACAATAAAATAATATTCAGGCTTCAGCAATCAGCATAGGTCAAAAAGGCTACACTCAGAACGCGTGGAATGCGCAATCAGCAGCTCGGGGTCCGGCATGTGAGATTGGTAAGCACAGGGCACACTTTATAAAGCATTGAGGGCTTGACGCTGCTTCGGCAGCATAAGATCAGCAGATGCGATGCAGTTATCCCCAACCACTAGAATGAAACTTGGAAGCCGAGGACATTGCTAACGAATAACTTTTCTTTAAATATCCATGACACAGCCCAGCTGAAATGCGCATCAGTCTACAACTCTCGCTCACCACTCCATCTCTCTTGCCCCCCCCCCCCCATCTACTCACGCTCCTCCCTCTTCAGCGCCTCCGCGTCTCCGCGCTCCACCATGGCCTCGGCGTCCCTGACGAACTGCATCAGGCCGCCAAAGTGGGGCGACAGCGTCTCCTCGACGTACTCGGCCGTGCGCACGGCCAGTAGCTCACGAAACGTCTCCGATTCCTTACTGTTGTCCTTGGTGCGCTCCTGACGGACGGACGGACGGACGGACGGGAGGGGTGGGTCAGGGCGAGGGCGAGGGTGGGGAGAGGTAATAGTGCGGGATGCACGAGAAGTGATAAGGGACGGGGTGGCGTGCTAGAGACTAGGGAGGCCGTAGGTGATTGGGTGCTAACGATACACACAGTACACACTACAGGCCTCCACTAACGAAGATAATTCATGGTAGGTAGAGCGTTTGATTTCTGATAAAGCGTTCGTATCGATGGAAATCCAGCTACTTTTCATCACAGTGAAAGTTGACGTAAACACTTGCTAAATAAATTTCAACGCTGATCTCCCGCCCTCATCTGTCGTTGGCAATCATCGGCAACTTTACAACCAACTCAACAGCACATCACTTTACTCCCTAGAACATGGTCATGATAGCTCCAGCCCCTGACTGTACCATGATGACGCCGAGCATCATGTCGTAGTTGTTGATGAGGAAGATGAGCTGCTCCTTCCTGCGTCGGAACTCTGCCGCCAGCCGCAACACCAGGCTCTCCATCTCTGCCTGCAGCTGCGCCAGCAGCCGGTGCACCCGCTCCGAGGGGAACGACTCGTTGATGCCCACCAGCGCCGCCGAGAACTCCGCGTACCGACGCGTGATCTGTAAGGAGAGACTCGAGGAGGTTAAAAACGTCGTACGTCGGTGTTTTAATCGCTTCAAACCGGTTGCCAAATACTGTCATCGAGCATTTAACGGTTCCCGACACCCACAGTATCTGACAGCATATTTCTGACGGTCTAACGATGAATACCACGCAGTGAGCCTAGCGTGTCCCGAAACAGCACTCGGCTGGCGGCAAATCCCAGTGCGAGTCCCGAACAGTGTTCTTCGAGCAGGGGTGAACCATGCGACAGGGGCACTCGCCATGAGTTACACTGGCAGGACAGCTCACGAAGAGTTCAAAACGGCATTGTAACTCACATAGTGAGGCCGGACGTCGATGGTTCCGATCTTGGACGGGTCACACTGGCGCACACTGGCTATGTTCAGTTCCATGATGTGACAAAACCTGACCGAGATAGGCGACAGTTACTATTAGTGAGACTTTCACGAACAAATCGGACAGGTGGTCACAGGCATAGCTTAATGATAACATGTGGGGATAGGGTATTTTATGTAATAGAAGATTGCAAATTGCGACCAAACAAAATCAACTTCAAGGCCTGACTTAAATACAAAGCCTAGCAAACCGAAGACCATGATACATTTATCGGAACGCAAGGTACTCTGTATCAGATTGCTAGCTCCCTTACTTTGGCCAGAGCATGTTGAGCAGCATGTCCCAGTACTTGTCGAGCGCCGGCACGGCCCGTTTGTGACACATGAGCTGGTAGCGTAGCACCAGGTGAATGCACAGGAACAGCGCGATACTGTCGTGGCACTCGGTCACCGTCGCGTCCACCGATTTCTGCCGGAAAACACGGCACGAATTACTGTTGAATACTGTATACGTTTGACGTAGCTGGAATTAATCTATTTCCAACGTGTAATTATCGTTTTTTTAACATTCATAGTGTCTAGGAACTCCAAAAATAAATGACGTTGCACAACATTTAAATATGCTTCAATGAAAACAAATTTTTACCGGCCAGACTGCCACATGAACACATTCTTCATTAGATCCACCCCAAATCGCCCTGAGCTCTTACCGCGCAGCTGTGTAGAGTCTTCCCCATCACGGAGGCGAACAGATCCTGCGCCGCGTTACCGTGCACCATGAAAAACTCTGTGAGGAAGAGGTACTCGCGGCAGGCGTTGTCCACCAGCGCGTACTGTATGCTGCGGAACAGGCTTTCGAGCGGATAGTGGGCGTCTGCCTTGTGCGCGGCGTGCGGAACCAGCACGGCCGCCTCCAGGGCGTTCAGCACCTCGCCGCGCGAGCCCACAGAGAACACTGTGGACCGGTTACGGAGGGAGGGTTTGCCGAACAGCGAGCGGCTGGCCGCCTCGTCCGCTGCCAGCAGGTCGTCCTTGGTCGGGCCCTCCTCGAACTGGCGAATAAAATGAAAACACTTCAGCGTGCGCAGTCGCCACAGTAGCACGACGAAAAAGGTAGGGGAGGTATAAACGCTCTGCGAAGAAGAGTGGTAAATATACTGCTTTTTGAGGGCATGACTTTGACATGTGACACGATGCTTGGGCCTTCATCTATATTTGAATAATTGTATCAAAAAGATAATTATCGACTGGAAGTAATCATTCAAGTATACCCAATGCCAATAATATATTGAAAAACATTCACAATCGCAAATGCATCTACCTGCAGTTTCATGAGCCGTGTGGAGTAGGACTTGAAGTAGCTGAAGTACACCTTGCTCATGGTCTCGATGTAGTCGTCTCGGATCTCCCGCGCCACTTCCCGCTCGTTGGCCACCAGAAACTTGTAGAAGAACCTGCAGAAAATGAACGTGTAGGAGGTGTGCGTACTGCGAATAAGGAGTGGAATTAGGTAGGTAGAATCCATTACTTTGTATTGACAACGCCAGTAAAAATGAAAACCAAGAAAAAAGTTCGCATTTACGGCTTCGCCGTACATACTTGTGCTTTAGCATGGCGTTTTGCGGAACCTGGAAGTTGGTCATCGGTTTCCTGAACTGCTGCACTTTCTGTAGGAGGTACTCGCGGATTTTGGCGATGGCTTTGATCTTCAGCTTCTCCAGAACACCACTGACGTCGTGGCACGACTTCGCCTCTGGGAAACACAAAGTGGAAGTGAGTTGTCAAGGAAGCCTCCAATTAATACGCAGAATGCACCACTAATGTAACTGGTAATATCCAAATTGTAGTGGCTATTAGTTATAAGTAAAGTTACCAAAAAGTGTCGCGTAGTGAAACTCACAATTGAACGAACACCTGATGTTTACTGGGAAATCACTTACGGAAAAAATCCCAAAACACACACCATAGTTGATGGGCTATGAATTTAAGTTGTGGATACCACATATGTACATCCCTACCATGACCCTTGACTGACCTCTGAAGCTCTGCTCTTTGACAAAGCTCAGTTTGTGATCGAGAGTGAAAAGCTGCTCCAGAAACTCCCTCTCAGTGACAGGGGTCTCCAGTATGTGCCTGGAACAACATAAGCAGACTAAAACACACCGATCGATCGCAGTATCTCATTTCACAAGTTCATATTATAATAGCAAGGTTCTCGGACTCGGTACGACAAAATCGTAAGAAATTTGACAAATGGTAGCATCTGTGTCGACACGATATACTATCTTACCATTCCTATTACCTTGCCCTACCGCCAACATTCAGATTTCGAACTGAAGCAGCCACGAGAACAGCAGCATATTCTATATCGTATTACCGACTCCGCGAAACCGAAAACCATTCCAAACCTCCCTACCTCCACGATGACGACACCACCCCCTCACTCACCGTATCATGGCCTCCGGCACGGTCATATCGTCGACGAACTGGCTGAGCTGGCCGCGCACCGCCTGCCGGTTCTTGAGGCGCAGGTTCATGTCGACCGACTGCTGCTGCAGGTGAACGATCTCCGAGCTGATGCTGCCCAGATCTGACTGGAAGGTCTGCAGCATCGACTCCATACGCTGGCGACGGACGGTAAGAATTCAGTGAGGGTGGGAGCATGACTGGGTTAGACAGACAAAATGAAACGGAATTATTACCTGCATTGCTATTGCCTGAAAAACTTCATTAATACAAAAATATGCTGGACATGTTGAAGTTATAAAGCCAATGATGGAATAAATTACAGGTCACACTGCACACCTCTCTCTCGGCCTGCTCATCACTGCTAACGGCCGTGGCAGCCGACACGACGTTGGGCGGCCATGGGCAGGACCACATTCATTTATCCTGTTATGTTACCAGGTGGTGTTGCCCCCAGTTAAACATCAGCTTTTGCACCACCTAGACTGTATGCTCACTTCCATCCTATGTTTAGTAAACGTGTTTTGTTGTTTGTTATTGCTAGACTATTCGGTTACTCACATCCAGAATTTCATCACAAGCTGTGATCTGGCCATGAAGTTCAGTGATATTTCTGCTTTCTTTGATGTAGTCTTGAATAGATGCATTTTCCACCTAAAACAAAATAGGATTTTTGCTGTAAATATTGACCACACATTACAAGCATTATTTTCAATTATCTATGGGAGTTTAAGGGACGCTTTGAAAACAGAGACCCATAACAATAATTCCATCAAGTTCATGACATGCATGATTTATGTTGGGTTAGCTTCTGGAGCCCAATCACATCATAAACTTATTTACTGTTACAAATAAGATAGTCTTTGGCTCAACATAGCAATAATACACAAATATTTCAAAGTGAATCAAAACATCTTTTAAATAGGGACCACTTTGAGCAATCTACATTCACTGACATATCCAATTACTGAGCCAAGGTCCAATTGTCTGATTGTCTTTATTTCAGCTACAAAAGTGTTGGTTTTTAGCATCTAGAAAATCATTTTCATTTATTTCTCATTCTCATCACCTGTCTCAGTTTTTGCTCCACTTCAGTAGAGTACTGACGTAGGTCGATGCCACTTTCTAAGGCTTCCTTTAATGCAGCATTGTTGATCTCATCCTCCATCTTGCTAACTAGTCTTTGGTCTGCAAAATAATGTAAGCATAGTAACATATCTTAGTGACAATAAATAGATACCTTCTTTTTAGGAACTTGTCTATTAAGAATTACAATCAATCAATGACATAACTCAGTAGGCGGAACTATGGTCATGAGTACCCAAATATAGGAACGTTCCCATTTTTGGGAACGGAGTTCCCAAATATGGGAACGGGCGTTCCCATTTATGAGAACGGAAGGCAATTTTTCGGCCGTTCTCCCACTAAAACTCAAAAGTGCATCACGTCTCAAAAAAGTGCACGCTGATTTAAGTATCTACTAAATCTCCATAAAGTTATCTTTAATCTGACCGTGGAACAAGGAAATTGACCGTGGAATGATATTTTTAATGATTTTTTGAAAATGACAGAATGGTGGAAATATGGGTTATACGACATTGAGCATGCAATTTTAAGGAAAATGAAGCATTTTTTAGTTTGAGGTAAAGTATAATAATTTTCGCCTGGTTATGAACTTTCATACTATCGACACCAGATGCTGACAAATGCAAGCGAAGACGCGGACGGTCCCGAGGTAATATTGTTGACTTTTGTGTCGGGGCGGACGACCGCGTGGAACGTGAGTGAATTTACCGAGCTACTGTTGTAAACTCAGTTTAAGCGGTTGAAAATTATCCAGCTGTATTTTATCATCCCGGAAAGACATATTTTATTTGGATGCTAGCTGTTTAGAGTTGTTTTATAAGGAGCGTCATGAGCGTGGTTTTTGTCTTCCGTGTTTCTAAGCGTGATCGTTTTGGGGGAATTTCTCCTATATAGCTCGCTCTGTGTGGCTTATTTATAATTTTTATGCTGATTTTGATAATTCCTCGTGCCCATCCTACCAGGCCTTTTGCCACTTACACTCATCAAGAAAGGAAAAAACTAGATTTTCATTGGGACTAGGTGTTTTGAGGGTGTAACATATTCAGCGTTCCCATTTTTGGATACTTCCTTGTACTCGTCAACTATCGGTGATAAACAGACAGGTGCTTGACATGTCTCCACCCTCAGCGCGGACGGTGGATATAGGTATGGAAGACCTTGTTGAACATCGCTGAGCGTTGTGAATTACGTAATCCTGCAGAGAGGGGCGTGCCCGCTGCGAGATCGACGGGAATAAAAGCGCAGAAGACCGGGCGAAACATGCGACGGTCTTGCCGGAAAGGTCATCTGATGATTGTTGCGTTAACAATAATTTGCGGCGTTGGACGTGATGCTTGTTAATGAAAAGAGCCCCTGAAAGGCGTCGGTGAAATCGTTCCCAATTTTGGGTACGCCGTTCCCATAATAAGGAACGCTTGCAGCGCCAGTGTACGAGAGCGTTCCCAAATTTGGGCTCGCGGCCCGGATGATGGACTGCTTTAGAAATAGGGGAACGATTTGAAACTACGATGGGCCTTACAATATCAAACTCTTTCCCAACAATATTGAGACAAATATCAGGCGGTTCACGATCGTTTTATATTTTTTGGACGTCATTTAACGGTTCTTTTTCTTGTTTTAAATAATGCCTACATGGCGTTCCCATATTTGGGTTTATCGTTCCCAAACATGGGAACGAAAATGCGTTCCCGAAAATGGGTACGCTTGACCATAGTTCCGCCTACTGAACTAAACATCAACATTTTATCTAGGATGCCTTAAAATATCAGGAGGAAATTGCACCAGTTGTTTTTGCTGGGTTCGATTAAGAAGCTGTAGAAGCTGAAACACCAGCAAGCTGGCAGCCTGCTGAAAAAAGATATGAGCGAACAGCACTTATAAGCTCGGAACCTTCCATACAACCCATTAAAAAGCAGCTCCTACACTGACACAAGTGATAAGCAGATGTAGTATTAAGAAATAAAGTACATGTTTAGTATATGATAATAAAATGGCATTAAAGTTTATAAAAATGTATCTTATGTTTACATTTGAAATGTGGATAAATAACCATTTAACTTTAATCTGGGCTATCACTTATGTTTCAGCATTTCGATTTTAAGCCCATATCTTTTGATCTTTGCACAATGCACACAGATATCCTAGATTCACTTTTCGTTCGTCATACACTCGGTAAATGCAAAAACACCATACCGATCAGTGATCACCTGACCACCGAGCTCGATGCCGAAAATAGTAAATAATTTCAATCCAGACACAGAAAAGGAATAAGTGAATAGACAATAAGTGTTCGACTGTGAGGTAGGCGCTGAGAATGTTACTAATGTACGCGCTTCATTTCACAAGCAATATCAAATTACTAGGCAACTCGCAGCATAAACGCATAAATTAGCTGTTCAGGGCAAAAAAGAACAAAAGTATCGAAACGGTTATTTGCCTATTTGCGCCAGATAGAGAAACATGTTGCGCTGCTACAAGATGCTACCAAATGAAGTTTTCCTTTCTTTATGCTGCTGAGCTTCGCAAGCATCGCAAGGTTCGCAAGGACTTCGATTGAACTGCCAAAGGGCGAAAAATGAGCGTTATATTAGTTGTTTTGCTGCTTTGACAGTATTTCCCCAGTTAGTTGTTTCTACAGTATCAAAAATAACGAACAGCCAAGCAGTCATTTTTTCCCCTCATATCGCATAGCAGAGCAGATTCTGTCGTTTTTGGGAAAGGAACAAACTACTCGTTCCGTTTCAGTTCAAATTATACTTAGAAGTTAGAGCAAGCAATGGATGCCATAGGTATCTGGTCTGCGCTGTCTGTTAATTTGTCATTTCTTGGTGTGACATTGATAATACTATATAAGCATTAAATAAATACAAATGAACCTCGGCCCTCGGGACGGATCACGTGTTCGGGCCCGTTACCAACATACAATGAACAGGCTCCAGTAACAATCTCCTCAAACACTGTCCGTTTATTTACAATTGAACATATCTTAACCAGCAGCGTAGCATACAGTGCACATTCAGTAGTAAAAGACGGTGACGATGTGAAAGTACAGACATAAAACAACGGGAAATCGGACCGGCCGGCCCTGGCACACCAGAAGCACGAGCCGGCGGCGTTGGAATGACCAAACCATAGCTTGGTGGATACGGTCGAGATGGATACACACAAAGAGCTGGCGATTATTACACATTCGACGTAACGCAGCTGTGACGCGTGGTTTCTGGCCCTAAGGCGAAAGACTGCACCCTCCGTACATTGGGCGGGACAGATTATCGCCATACAAACACACGATACACAGGGGACTCACAGCCTGAAGAATTCCACACGTCACCACTGCTCACATTAAATTACACACGACAGCACACACTGACACATTGAAGAAAGGCTGCGGCGCAACTGTCTTTTCGTGTGACGGTCGGCTCACTAGGCCCAGTTCGCTTTGTGAAGTCACCCCAGCGACAAACGGCGTCACTTCTGGCGTGTGACGCCGACTCGCTTTTGACGCCGCCATCTTGACACAGTCTTCGAACACCAGTCTGCCACTCTCAGCGGCTTTGAAAAGACTGGAGCGCTCACTCGGGTTCCAGTGTCACTGGCTTGCCCATCCCTGCAGTGTCCTGCACTGCGCGGAGAGCAGGCTCCGTCCGCACGGGGGCGACAGGCCGCAGTGAAATGCTGATGTCTGTCGAAGAGGCGGCTCAGCCCAGCGCCCACAGCTCCACGGCGGTGATGAAGAACTCCTTTCCGACCGTGAGCGGGTCGTTGTTGTAGGTTTGACACGGCTCTGTGATGCCTCGCGCCAGGTCCTCGTCTACGTAGAGACCTGCGCGACCACTGCGGGCAGAACGATACACAGAGGTCAGTCAGGGGCATACTTGAGAGTCGAGAGGTCAGTCATAGAGAGCTCGATATAACACAGCTTTCTACAGATCCACGTCATACAGTCTTCCTACCCAAACTCTAATTACCGCGTATCCGAATTCCCCCTCCACTCAAACCACTGAACCTCAAAAACCTTTGAGACCGACCCACCAAACCACTAAACTTAAACCACTGAGGCACCTGCTAAACCACAGATCCCCAAACCACTGGGCAACCACAGTCTACCCTCCCCCGCTCTCATGCTTCACTCACTCTCCAGAGCCGAACTCGAGGCAGTCGGTCGATCCCCTGGCGAAGTACTGGTTCTCGCCGGACCAGCGGTACACGCGGAACTGGGGCCGCAGCGTGAACAGGAACGATTCGCCGGTGCCGTAGTAGTGTTTGCCGAACCGTATCGGATCGGTGCAGACCGCACCAAACACCTGAGGAAGACAACACAACAGTGTGTTAGTGCGCTGAGAATACAACAGTGTGATAGTCAGGGGCGGATCCAGGAATTTTCGGGAGGGGGGGCGGCAAGTTGAAATAGGGGCGACCTGGCAATCCGGGGGCGCCAAACCGTCGTCAAAATCGAGAGTTTAAAACCCACGCCGTGCGTTGTCACGTTCCCCTAAGTTTTTCGCAAATATCTATAAGACGGCTGTGCGCAGCGCCGCCGTTTTAAAGATATTTGCGCCCAACCTCTGCTTGGATCGCCCAATCCGTCATGGGGAGGCTCACTTTGCTGAAGTCGCCTCATTTCTTCTAAGAACGACCAATTTGCTGTAGGCGGCCCACTTATCTGGGACGCCCATTTTTTTGCTAGAAGTGCCTCTCTTCTTGATGCGTCCCGCTTCTACTGGGAGTGCACCTTTTCTGTTAGGGCACGCCTTTGCTGCTGGGGAGTCCCTTTTTCTACTGTGAATGGGGCGGCCCTTTCCTGTTCGGCGACCCCAAATTCTGCTGGGGGCGCCCCATTTCTGCCCAACTTTTGCTGGGGTGCCCCTCTCCTGCAGGGGCACTTATCTTTTGCTAGAGACGCCTCTTCTGGGGGCGCCCTTCCACTGCGGGGGACGTCTCTCTCCTGCCAGAGGCATCCCTTTTCTTCTTATGGGGCTCCTCTTTTTGCTTGGGCGCCCCTCTTCTGCTCGGAGCGGGGCACCACTCTCCTTTTACTGGGGCACAGCCCCTCTGCTGGGGTTGCCCTTCCGCTGCCTCAGGGGCGCCCCTCTTGTGCAGAATATACTCCTTTTCTTCTTGTAATGAGGCGCCCCTCTTCTACCGGGGGCGCCCATCTGCTGCTGGGGCGTCTGTCTTCTGCCGGATATTGTCAATGGGGCGCCCCTATCCTGCTTGGCGAGCCCAACCTCTGCTGAAGGCTCCCCATCTCTGATCAACTTTTGCTGTGGCGCCTCTCTTCTGCTGGGGCGCCCCTCTTCTGCTGAGGGCGCCCCTCTCCTGCAGGGGGCTCCTCTCTTCTGCTGGGGCGCCCCCCTTCGCTGGGGCGCCCGTCTCCTGCTGGAGGCTCCTTTCTCCTCCTGGGCCCCCTCCGCTGCCGGGGGCGCCCTTTTTCTGCCAGTGGCACCCATTTTCTATTATGGGGCTTCTCTTTTTCTTTGTTGGGGCGCCTATCTGCGGTTAGGGCGCCCCTCTTCTTCTTGGAATGGGGGCGCCTCTCTACTTTTGCTGGGGCGTCGCTCCTCTTCAGGGGGACACCTCTCCTGCCAGGAGTGCCCCTCTTGAACAGAAGGCATCTTTTAATTCTTGTAATAAGACGCCCCTCTTCTGCTGGGGGCGCCCATCTGCTTCTGGGGCGACTCTGATCTGCTGGGAATGGGCAATTGGGCGTCGCTCTCCTGCTTGGTGAGCCCAACTTCTGCTGGAGGCGCCCTATTTCTGCTCAACCTTTGCTGTGTCGCCTCTGTTTTGCTCGGGGCGCCCTCTCTGCCGCGGGCTATGGGCGCCTTTTTTTGGATGTCGGGGGGGGGGGGCGGCCGCCCCCGTCGCCCCCCCCCCCTGGATCCGCGCCTGGTGATAGTGGTGAGAATTATACAGCTGGGTGTTAGCGGTGAGACCGCGTGTCTAATTATGGTAGAAGTTTGGCAACTTGAGTTAGGCGAGCTGTACTAAAACGGGTTTCCCAAACAGCTGAATGGACTGTGGCGAAATCACAATCCTCGACTTTGAGCTGAACAGGGTTTAGCACGTGACCTAGATCACCCAGTTTTAACCAGATTAAAGCGCTTTAATGGAGACTACCCGTCTGAGCCGACGATCGGTCACATGATTCAAATCACATCACTGAAAAGCACTGCACTGTTCACACCGAAGCACATCGGCCGCCCATCCAGCCTGTGTCTCCACTACTGGCTGAGACAACTCCCCACAGACAAACTCACGCTGTCGGATGCATCCTTGACTACCATCAGCATGGGGCAGTCAAACTCGACGGCCTGCCGGTAGAGCGACTTCAGACTGAAGCCGTGCTCCGAGGCGCTATACACCAGCTGCCACGGGTGACCTGAAACAAACACAAACTCGGGGTTATACACACATCGAGAACAAGACGATACGTTAACCCGCGCCCTGCTGGGGGGGGGGGGTGTTTGAACACCCCCCCTTGTGGTTTTTCGCGAATATCTCAAAAACGGCGGCGCGGAGCGCCGCCGTTTTTGGTACACCTTATCATACATCAATTCTACACATGTTGTAAAAATTTCAGACCATGTTGTAAAAATTTCACTTGAAGTGACCTCACCTCATAAAAAGTTTCAATGTCAGTCATAGCTACACCGAGTGACCGATCGCTTTGAAACTTTCAGCGATTGCTAAGAGCAATAGCATGTACAAAATGTATATCTCAGAATTTTGATATCGATGACCTAAGGTCAGGTCAATTTTGCGACCTCCCCATTATAAGTCAATGGGAGAAAATTGAAATGCGCCTCTTTTGGACTAAAGACATTATAAACACTCCCAAACACTGAATTACAAGTGGTTTAGACACACTGAACATGAAAATGGTGTCCGTGACCCCTGTTTATGCCCTGAGGTCATCTTCGGTCACGAATGGTATCTAACAGTTTTTCGCAAATAACTTTTGATAGAGGCATGCTAGAGCGATGAAAACACCTTAGATGTGTTCAGCTCAACGATACGGATCGACTGATATACAACATTACCCTTTCCGGTCAGGTCATGACCTTGACCTGAGGTCAAATTTTCAAGTTGACCTTTCAAGGTCAAGTTATAGTTCATTCGATGCGTCTTGACGAGAGGAACACGATGCCGGTAAAAGTAAGCTCGTACAAGGCTTGGGTCAAAAGTTATTGCAGAAAAACTGTTTCCGAAAAAATCGGCTATTTTTACAGTTTTTGCCCCCTGCAGGCAAAACCGTTGACGTTAGGTCAAATCTGAGAGAATTACTCAGAAAGGGCGTTAATAGGGCTATCGAATGCGCTTTTCCGCGGCGCTGTAGCTCTATTGGTTCCCGAGTTATGTGTTGGCTTCTTGGAA